AGCAGTGGAGTACGCCGCCTAATTAAGGTGCAGAAAGTGCCAGCATCTGTACGAAGGGCAATGCCACTCTGCTGGCAAAGAAGGACTCAGGTGCTTCAAAGCGAAGCCGATGACCTTCGTGAAAGCTGTGCCAAGCCGTAGCAAGGCACCGCGGGAGGAGGCTCAGAGTGTCTGTAGCCACGGCCGAAGGGTCTTTGCCTTTCAGTGCCTGGAGCCATTCGGCTTCCCAGCTCGTAGGCACTATAACACTGACAACAGACCGGGTCCCGTGTCTACGGTCACGACTCAGAAGGTCGCTCCAGTCGATCGCCTCGACTTCCTCCTTGAACTCCTCAAAAGTAGCAGCACGTGGTTTCGCTTGGATCTCCAGGGGGGTCAGGATGGCCTTTTGACATCCATGGAGTCCTTGTAGCACACCCTGCTCCCTTTCCGTCGTCCACACCGCGGTAGTGGGATCTCGCTGGATTTCCTTAATCTCCGTCTGGACCCGGGCCATGATCTCAGTCTCCTCGATCTGGTAGAGGGGGTAGCGCTGGAGGATCTTCTCGACGGCGGCCTGGGTCGTGACCTCGTAGGGCTGGGCGAGCTCGTCCTGGATGGTGTCACAGATCTCGTGGTAGGCCGCGACCACGCTGGGATGCCAGGTCGGTGCCGCTCCGGGCAGCCCGCCACTTTCGTCGCGCTCCGTGGCCGCGGGGGTGTACTGCTCAACGTCGGCCTTGCGTCTGACACGGCTGCCAAAGCCTGGAGCTAGGCGATCAGCTCGGCGTCCATCAGCTTGAAGGGCTCCAACGCATAGCGGAGCCGCACGAAGGTGTGCAGCCAAGCGCCCCTCAGACCAGCACTCCGTTCCGCAAGCACAGCACTTCGTCCCTTGGGCAAAGAGCCGGTACATAGCGACCCGCCCGTGCTTTTTGAAGTAGTGGACACTGAGGCTCGCCTTCGAATCGAAGCCCACCTTGCACCGTCGGCATTGCCACACTACAGCTCGTCCCCCATGCTCAGCTGTCTCCCGTAGCGTGCGGGCCATGGTCCACAGACACAGGTCGGTCGCCTCGGGGATGATGCGGGCCTCTTGCTCCTCCACGAGCCTGCACTTGACAAGGCGTTTCAGCCGTTGTGGGGAGTCGTGCAGTACTCGCCACCATTCTGGCCATGCCTGCGCTCCAAGCACCGGCCAATGCTTCTCGCGACCTCTTGTCGCCCATTGCAAGTCGTCTCTGACCGTGGCCATCCAGTCCTTCTCCTCCTGTAGCACACCCCAAAGGAGCCTTGGGGCAGCCTGCACAAGGGAGATAAGCAGGCTAAGCCTTTGTCTCTTCGCGAGCAGGTCGATCGGCAGGCATTTGGTAACCCACATGATCAACGGCAGGGGGACTTTGAAGAGGAGGGCGTGGTCCACATTCCGGGTGAGGAGCTTCCTGACAAGTCTGGCGTGTCCTGCACATAGGCTCGTCCACGCTGGACCAGACGGCTTCCAGAGGGCCAGGTTGAAGTAGGACGTGGCCACAGTGATCTCGAAAAGAGCAACTCGGGTGGTCAGCTCGAGGTCCTTGTTGTGGAGGAGGAGCTTCTTGGCCGACTCATAAGCCTGCGAGGCGACAGCAAGTCGATGTCTAACCTCGGGCTTGAAGGTCATCTTCAGGTCGATGACGCCTCCCAGGTGTCGGTACTGGCAGACAGTGGGGATCTCCAGCGCCAAGTCCGGGATGGTCAGTGCAGCTTTTCCACTCGGGAAGTATTTCCTCCTTGCCGTAGTCGAACCTGGTCCCCTGAGCTGCACCATGAAGCTGGTTTTACCAGGCCGCAGATTCGGCTGCATGCCGTGCGAGGTGAGGACGCTGAGCACAAGGGCGCCCACTCTACGGGCCTTAGCGACCAGCCTGTCCGGGCACGCATCTTCGACCACATAGGCCGAATCATCAGCCCAAGTGGCTTCCCAGGCTTGCTCTGTTGTGCCGCCCTGCCCCGTTGGGAAACTCCAGCATCAGCTTCCCACTCGACCGTGAAGTTCAGCTCCTCCGCTACCAGGTGCTCATGCGGTATAACACCCGGCTGTAGATGAACGCATAGATGACGTCCGCGAAGGATTCTCCAGGACGTGAGCCAGCCTTTCACCAGCACAGGGCCCCCCCTCCCCCATGGTAGGTGGTGACAAACCACGTGCGCAGGTGCAGATCCTTGATTGCGTGTCGCAGCTGGCTGTTCACGCCAGCTTCCGCAATCATACCTCCCCGACGGATGGTCGCCATCATGTCGTGGAGGTCTTCGTCGTCCAGTCCAAAGGCCCGAAAGAGAGAGATCACCTGGGCGTCGCTGTCAATGCATCCAGTCGCGAGATCTCTGACGACTTTATAATACGCCGCCTTGGTGTCGACGTAGAGGGTGGCGCAACTCCTGCCAGCACGGGCCATCTTGCGGAGGGCCGCGATCACATAGATCCCAGGGAAAGCGACCGGGGCCGACTGTCGGGTTCCGCAGTGAAGCGGATGCAGCAGTTGTTCAATCTCCGGTCCAATGAGGGTCCGTAGCGTCTTATGGTAAGACTTGCCAAGGAAGGAGGAGATGAAGAGGCTGCGGTAGTTCTCGACAATGGAGGGGGTGCCGCTATTCTTGTAGGCCTCACATAGTACCCCTCCTCTCCATTGGAGAGGTTGGGCTCCAACCAGCATCGATTTGAGGTAGAGCGGCTGGAGCATGGTCGCGAGGATCGTTGGGGCGGCGGACAGTAAATCGCTCGGTACTCCATCTAGCCCGCATGCTTTGCCTTTTGGGGTCCTTCGCAGGACCTCCTCGATGAGGGAGAGGCTTGGGAGGTCCTCGCATCGCCAAACGACCTCCTCGTCCTGGTAGCAAGCTGTGGGCTCCGCAATGAACTTGGCCACCTCCAGCTTCTCGCCCATTTCCTTCTCCCCGAAGTAGCGCAGCCAGATGTCATCCCTCTCTTGCCTGCTGACAGCGGGCTGGCCAGTCGCCGGATTCAAGAGTAGGGGGAGTGGGCGCTTGGTCGGCTGGGTCTTTCTGCCACCGAACCCCGCTCTTTTGACCCTTTGCAGGATTTGGATCACTCCCTGGTGGCCCTCAGTGGCGATCTTCCGCATGCTGTCGTTCTTGGCCACGTTGAGGATCTTCTTGATGCGGTTGGTCGCCATATTGATGGCAGCCGTTGCCAAGTTGTACATCAGGCCCTCTCTCGCCGCGAGGTAGTCCACGTCGAAGTCCTCCTCGCGGTGCCATTGTCGGAAGGCTCGGCTGACAGCGTCCTGCCACATCTGGCGTCGGTGTCGGACTCGGGCCTTGAAGTGGTTCTTGGCCCTGCGCAGACTCCATACAATGTCGGGGATGTAAGAGGCCCGGCCCGCATGCTTCTCAGCTGGGAAGAGCGTCCCCAGGGTGTCGACCAGGAAGGTCTGGAGTCTCTGGCAGTGCTGGTCTGCCGGGACCTCCCAGCCGGGGTGCTCGTAGGTACAGAGCGCTTCGTGCAGGGCCGTACGCCCCTCTTGGGTGGCTATCCTGTCCCGGTCATATCGTGGGCGCCATAGCCGACGCCCCTCTCGGTTATGGTCGATGGTGCCGCTGCAATTCACCTGCAACATGTGGTGGTCAACGTTGGGGCTGCCGTTATCGAACTGTGGGTTGACCCAACTGTTTGTAGCCCCCAGCGTCGCTCGGCCACCCAGGGCGATGAAGTCGATCCGGTGGGCTGTAGCTGACGGGTGCCGGTAGGTCTCGCTGTCCCCACTGTGGACGCTCTCGTACGTGGATGGTATCCAGGCCCCAAGGTTGGCGAGGGTATCCACAAAGGCCCAACCCGCATAATCCGGCTCGCCTAGTTCCACCGACCCAGTCACTCCCATGTAGTTCGGCGGGACCCGGCCGTTGAGGTCCACCCCAATGATCAGGAGGGCTGCATTCTTGATCCCGTCGAGCTCACTGAGGAGCTTCAGGAAAACAGCCCTCTCACGGGGAAGGCTCGTCTACGGGCAATGTCCGGCAACCAAGGCAATCTTGCCGAAACCCGCCGCAATGGTGACAATGAGCAGCCGGGGGTCCTGGTGGCGGGCCGCAATGTCAGCCTCGTTCGGGATCACTGGCCGGTCTTCCACTTGGTCTCCTGCATGAAGACCACGTTAAGTCCTAGCCCGTCACATTGCTCCTCGACGTAGTGGTGATGTCCCCCTAGCCCTTGGATGTTGACCGTGGCAGCGCTGAAGGCGAAGTGGGTGGGGGTCGCCATGTCGTTCGCAATGGCGGGGCCGACAGTAGGGACCAAATCTTGTGGGGTGAGAACGTGTTCAGCACGATGTCCTTCACTCCACAGCACTTGTCCCCCACGCATCGGCAGGGCTCCAGTACGTCGGGCCAGCAGATCTGTGTCACCGCGAGGTTCTCCTGCTGGAAACAGTTGATGACCTCTGCCGGGGGTCCCACAAACTCGTGGGTGCCTGTAGAGGCCTTGCGTGCAATTGCATCAGCGACCTCATTCCAAGTGTTGCCACAATGCGCCCGGACGTGCTCTAGGCCTGTTCGAGCTCCTGACGCTTCGCTGACCATCATCGCCACATATGGGTCCGGCGGGGCCCATTGTCCGCTCGCGCCATATCCAGCCGCCAGGCAGTCAAAGCGGATTGTGCATCCGACGGCAGGATGCACACTGCGAAATTGCAGCAACCGCAGCATCGCCGCTGCAAGGGCCACCTGTTCTGCTCGTAAGGCCTGCGCTCCAGTTGCTCCCTGCAACTCCCAGGTGCAGGTATCGTTGCCAAGCAG